TGGTACTCTGAAAGTAATACTTTGCAGTTTCCATTGAAACTACAACAGCTATGTGGTGAGCACAATGGCACCAGCAAACTTTGAATCTACAAAATATCATTTTCTTATGGCTGCATCATGTTGAAACACTGGTTTGTGTACAATCACCAAAGTTAAGTAACATTAAGACAATCACTACCTAGACTGGTGACTGCTTGGCAATCTTTCTTTTAATTGAAACAAAGTAGTATCTAGAATGGTCACTTTGTTTTTTTTTTTTTTTTTTTTTTTTTTTTTTTTTCTGCAATACTTTTTGCAGTAGGCATTGAATTCTAGAAGCAGTGTAAAGTCTTGTTTTTGTACGTGTGTTGTGTTTTTTTTTTGTTTTTTTTGTTTTTTTTTTTTGTCCCTTCACGCCATTGTATCTGCCTCTTATGCTGGCCATTATTTTTTTTTCCCTTTTAATGTCATTTGCAGATTCTTTTTCTTTCCTTGCTCCAAATAACTAACCTACATCATTCTTGAAGATTTGCAATGCTGTATTAGGGATTTGGGTATTTTTAATGGGCCATCCAACAATGAATCTTGTATAAAACTTGGAGAAATTAGTGTTTTCTCTTTCAGGTTTCCTACCAAAATGTCCTTGTTTACAAAGTATCCTCTTTCAACTGCTTTTTCCCATGTGACAATGTGAAATGGTTTTTCAGTAACTTTCACAGATTTGTGTATTCTAATTTACCTCTTAAAAATTTTCCTAGAAATGTGTCTACTCGACAAGAGTTAAACTCTAGGAACTCTTATTTTCTTGGGCTATCTTGGCGAGTAATATTTCATATTCAGCAAGAATTTGGTCACATTGCTGTGCAGTATGCCATTTGGTATTCAGAATCAGCTAGAGGAGCTTTTCAAATTTTAATATGGCACTCGTCTGTTCACTGATCATGAACAAAGGATCAAGAGATCTTAAATGCTTTACAGTTGATTCTTTGCTGTTGTAGAAAGGAAGTTTAGACATTTTTTCCTGAACTGTATACTGAGCAGTTGGTTGCCAGGAAGATTCTCAGAGGATTTAATAAGTGTTTGGCGGCAAAGCCAATGTCAACTTCTAATAGTACATGAAGCGTAAGGATGTTCTGTTGTTCTTGATTATCTCATGAAGCAAAAAAGCAAATTAACCAAGATAGATTTAAGCTCTTTTTGCCAAAAAAGGCATCATTGGGACATCCTTTAAAAAACCTTCAAGGAAGAATCTAAGCAACCTTGCCATGTAGATAAAAAAACAAAAAAACTGCAGCTTGTCTTCAAAAAGAGGGTTTACAACACCCTTTTTTGCTATGGGATAGGACACTGATGTTGGTTCGACCTTGCAGAATCTTTTGTAGTAGTTCATAAATTTCTGTACAGATGGTCATATCTCAATGGCTGCTCTGAGACTGGCAAATCTTCTATCCACCTGTGAGCACAAAATTTGAGGGGGAAGTTTGAGGTTTTTGGGATTTCAAAGAAATCATCCTACCTAGCTGGTGTATCATGAAAAATCTGCCAAAGAGATCTTGGGCTTTCATCAATCTTCCCTCTTATCCTATTGGAAACTCCCATGAACTGTATGGAGACCACAGCTCCCAAGGTTTAATAACTTTTGAGCATTCCTCAAATAATCTCAAACTTCCAGTTTACTGGTGTGCCATCTATAGATATTTGTAGGAGCTTATTTGGATCAAGTGAAGATAAAAAATTCTTCATTCTCTCAACAAACTGAGAGTGTAGGTAATTTATTACCACCATGTCTTCATTCTCACTCCAGTACCAAACAATTAATCCATTTGCTCAGTGTGAGTAACCTTATTCAGGCATTCATCAAATGAAATGATGTAGCAATTTGATTGTCTGATGCCTTTTATAATTTCCTCTATGAAATAGTGTACCAAGCCAAAACAAATCAGTTATGCTGTTTTGGTTGTACTACATGCAAAGTTTTTGGCAATGTTATTGTAAGGAAACATTTGAGCAAACATGCCTAAATCTGAACAGGAGTTAAAAGAAAACTATGCCAGTCATTATTAGCACTTAGTGGATCTTTGCTTCCAAAACAGCTTCACTTGAAAAAATATGTATTAATTTTTGGTGAAACTTAGGATGGATCGACACTTTCAGAATTTGATGGTTGAACTCTAATTTCTTGACTCTGCCATTGTTGCCTGTTTGCCAACTTCAGAATTCTGGATAGAAGGTTGATTAAAAAAATTGGTCATTTGTTAGGCATGGCTTTTTTTTTTTTTTTTTTTTTTTTTTGAATTCTATATACTTGTCAGTAATGAATCCAAGATACTTCATCATTAACCCTACATCATAAAAAGGTAAGAATAAAACTGGTTAAACATGTAAATATTAGAGCTAATGGAAAATTATAAAAACCTCCATGAACAAGTGCTGTCCTGGAAAATGATTTCCTAAAGAGTGGGAATCTGTACACTCTGAAAACAAAAAATATCTTGCACCAATGAAAAAATCTAAGTATAAACAGTCAATTGCTGATACACCCCTAATAAGTGGATGGAGTGATTCCCAGAGGGTCTGTCTAAGAATCTCTGGAACAGATGTTAAAGGTAACCTCAATCAGCTAAGTGACAAACCTTTTTGTTGTATTAACTCTCTCTCTCTCTCTCTATATATATATATATATATATATATATATATATATATATATATATAAATCTCAGCCTTTCTCCTAGACCTGTTTTATTAAGTTTTTCTATTTGGGTGGTTAAGACATTGCTGAAACTCTTCATAATGATTGTCCCAAGTGCTTTTGGACAATTTGTTAGCCATTTTCAAGGTGTTTGCTAATATTTTCAACACTTGTTTTCTAAATATTATTTTGTGGAAGAATTATTACTTTCAAGCTGTGCAAGAGAAATCTGGCTGTGATTGTATGTCAGGTTGTTTGAAGATTATATAAATATGAAGCTTTATATAAACCAGTTCAAGCTGAGCTTAAACTTTACCTTATCTAACTATGATAGTGATGTGTTGGGGCCTTTTAACAGACAACCCAACATGGAATCACAGCTACATTTTTTTTTTTTTTTTTTTTTTGTACAGCTTAGATTTGCTACTATTTTCACACAATACACATTTGAACATAAACACTGGAAAACATTAATAAACCCCCTTGAAAATGGCTAATAATTGGGATAATAATTATTATGGACAGATCGTCAGTTCCTGTACTCTTAGCCCCCATCCCAAACAAAAACTGAAAAAAACATTAGAAAACTTAAAATTTTTCTTGACTGTCACATTCAATGAAACTGGTTGTGTATGTGAACCGACACACGCATGTTATTTTCATATCCCTATTCTGGTATGTTTTTGTGTTCTAAAATGGATGGCCATTGAGGTAATGTCAGATTCAATGTTTGTCAAATTTAGCTCTATAAGGAGGACTGATAGTACCACTATTACATTGTAGCCAGAGGCCATAGATATGAAATATATGGAAGTTTCTCATTGATATTTCATGATTGTTGTTTTTGTCTTGATGTGTTGATAAAATCTGATGTTGGTTAGCTGAATAAAATCTTTCTTGCCTCCAGCCAATGTAAAGTGATCAGTTTTCTGTTCTTAGCTCCAATCATCATCATCATCATTTTATAAAACTTGTAACTATTACCCATAGAATAAATCTCAATAGCATTGGAGGTGTCCAGAAAGAAAAGCAACCCCCTTTTATTTTTTTTGTTTTGTTTTGTTTCTGTTAGATTTAATCTGCTTTTTATGAAAATATTACTTTATTCAAATCTTTCCACTTGCTTGCTTCTGGGATGGGGTTGGTAGCTCCATGTCAAACCAGTTTTGCATTCAGAATTGTCCTTCTAGACTGTTTGCTAACCAAAACTAAAGTACTTATTCTGCCCAATTACATAGTCCATAACTGATGAGAGAAGAAATGGATACCTTAAGTGTATTTGCATGTTCTCGTTTTGAGCTGCTAACCTGCACATCTGTGTGTGTATAAATAAACACGTAATTTGTTTTTATTTTATATTTATTTATTTTTTTTAACCAAAATATTCAGGAAATTTGACCATGAAGACAACCTGATAGAAACTCTGGATGACAGTAACTTATCTCATTTTGAAGTGTTTTCCTTGTGAGCCAACACATAGCAAAACCACCTGCAGTAGGTATGTGTCATCTAACAATGTGTAGATGATGTAATTGTTATAGATGAGCTGAGTTCAAATTCTGTTTTAGTCCATTGCATTTACTTTCATACTAATATAATTAGGAAAGTCATGAATTTATCTCTTCCACATTCTGCTTATGGGTTAAATCACTTTTTTTTTTTTTTGAACTTTGGCCTTAGGTGGCAACCAGTCTTGGAGAAGACAATGAGAAATGACTCCACTATTATTATTTTTATTTTTTTTTTTTTTCAAGGGTTCATATCAGTTCACAGATGATGAGCAAAAGGAATCTATAGAGAGCTATGATTTGTTTACATGATGAAGGGGTATGGCATTTAAAAAAAAATTCTAAAGGAACTACTATGTAATATGAATTTTTGAGGATAGAGCTGACACTGACTAGATTTTCCTCAACGGAAGCATAACTTTTTGTCATTAAGGAGTTTTTACCTAAAAAGCAATCTCTCAGAATATGGGATGTAAGACCTTTACATTTTAAAAATGACTCTTCTTTTTACTACCTACTTGCAACCTTTTAAAATCAAAAAGGTAATCACTCTTGAAAGTCGTGTGCAGTAATAAGTTGTTCAATGACCCGTTCATATGATAATGGTAATATTAGCCATTTCCACGTAAGGAAATATTCAGCATTCATTGACCGAGTAGCCAGTGTCACTTCTGGTTAAAAATTTTTCAAGATGAGACTAGTTTCCAAGAAAATAGTTTTCTCAAGTCCAGTATCTGTTATCACACTTTCCCGTTTTGATGGGGGTTTCCTTCCTAGACTTTTGTTTAAAGTAGTGGGGAACATCAACATCTTGATTGTGGGCTTATGGCCATACATGTTGAAACGCTCATTCCCATACAATCACAGAAGTTAAGCATCATTGAGCTTGGTCAGATGGGTGACCACTTGGGAATACTAAGTGCTGTAAACTTGATTTTAATAGATAACTGCTTTGGAATTGGAGAAGTATGTTCCAATTCTAGTTAGGTTCCTTACATTCTCTTACATGCAAATAACTTTTCAGGGAAAGGTTTGCATCCAGTTTTTGTCCTCCCAGATATAGGTTAATTAGTTGTTCTTCTATCAGTAAATTATTATCTTCCTCAAATTATTAGAATCTAAAAATATAAAAAATCAAATCAATCAAATTACATATGCTATCCATTTTAGTTGTTGCTGCTGTTGAAAGTCCTCAAGTGATGTCATTTCTGTTTTTTGGTACAACTTTCTGGGTTTGAAGAATTGTTCTTGTTGAAGCTTATAGATTTCATTCACTCAAAGCCATTTTTAACCACTGATCTGAGAAAGCAGTTGTATATCGCTGACAATTCAGATCACTCTGAACAGGTTTTTGTACTATGCATGACATTCATGACAAGACTATTTAAGAACATTAGTTTTGCCCAACACCCCAAGTTGCTAAAAAGTCAAAACATTAACCTGAAAACCTATCTGGATTGCTGCCTATTCTATGTTCATTTTTTTTTTTTTTTTTATTGCCTATACTAAATTTGTTACAACTCATGCATGCAGTTTCCTTAATCTATCCCTCTACCCTCATCCTTTCTTCTATCACTCCTATCTGATCTTGCTATTTTCTGTAACCCCTTGCGTCCTAGTGGCTTCCTGCCTTGCTTGGGTGAAATGCTTAAAAAAAAAAAAAAATACACTGAAGACTTTTGAAGTGTTATTTACTAAATTTGCATTTTTTTTTTTTTTTTTTTTTTTTTTTTTTTGGTTTGTTTTGCTAGCCATAGAAACACCTCCCACACAAACAGGGTGTGTTAGGTATTTGAGAATATATCTTTAGTAGGTTGTTAACGAAAGCCCCACCCTCACCAACATTCTCCTTTCTCTTTAACATAGCAGATATACCAGTTTGGGATGTTTTTTTATTTCCAGTTTCAAATTCATAGCATTAGCCATCAACTACAGCATGTTGGAGAGCCAATTTCTTGAAAGTAGCCAGGTCATCAAGTGAACCCCATGAAAGGCACCAGTGAAGTAGACTGTTAATCTTTTGGTGTTGACGTCATGAGCAATGAGAACTATTATGCCACCCTCACTTATTCTTGCAGGGCGTTAAGCAATGTTGAACCTGGTCAGTACCTAAATGGGTGACTGCTTGGGTGCTGTAAGCTTGGATTTACATGTGGTGTAATGGATAATAGCTTGAAATTGTTAATCCAAGAGCAGTTCTAATTCCTGCTAGGTTTTGTTATCCATTTATGTTCAAATACCTTTTTGGAATGACATGAATCCACCTCTAATCTCCCCTCCCCACACCAGTCATGGGTCAATTAGTAAGACTTGTATCACTAAATCACTCCCCTCCTCCCTGCCAAAAAAAAAAAAAATTCACAGTATAAAAAATATTTTCTGGTTTTAAATACCTTGTAAAGGATTGATGAGCTGTAGAAAATAAATCCATCAATTAGACAGTCTATGATTGTCAGGCTTTGAATAAAATGGGTAGCTATATGTGTTCTGTAGGACTCTCTACTTGCTGTGATGTTGTAAATGGTACTTTGAGATATATATATATATATAAGAGAGAGAGAAAGATATTTTAATTTTATAATATGTTATAGTTGACATTTTATAGCTTGGGCAGCATTTATGATTTTCATTATTTCATCGTCATTATTCTTATGTGGTATTTCACTTCTGCATGTGAGTGGTCATTGTTCTCTACAATTTTTCTGTCCTTTCTAGCTCTTAGCAATGTTTATTTTTTTGCTATCTCTTTTAAACCCTGTTGTGTCAACCATTTACATAAGCTTGTTAGGTAAGTTATTTACTGCTTTTCTCAGACTTGCTTGCTTTCAACATATCCAGTGAGTGTCAAATTTTCCAAGACCTCTTTCCTTATGTACCCTAGAAATTTCAACTGTCACTTTCTGATTCTATGTATCCTTTTCAATCATATTTTTTTCTACTGTACATTTTGTTTTGGTTTCCTTTCAGAAGGTAAAAAATATCTTCTGAATACTTAAGAAATAAAACTAGCTGATATGAATTAATTGAATCCTACCCGACTCCCTGCCATTTGCTTTTTGAAAAACTCAATTTCCTAAAGAATATTTTTCATTCTATAATAAAATCTAAATCAGTGTTAGGACTGATAATGTTAATGACCTTTTGAATTTTATCAAGAATCTCTAAATATGTATTCAGAGGCACCTGACCAGATGGAGTAGCAGTATTCAACACATGGTCAAATGGTAGGCTTATAATAGTCATGGATTGATTCTGTCAAAAAAGATTTGTGTAGCATGGCACAGTGAACTCTAAATTTAAAGCCAAGGATAAGGCAGTGGTAAAAACAATCCAGTACCTTTCCCCAAGAAGTCATTACTCTCACCGATAATCATCTGGAGAGTCCTGATCATCTATAACTTAAAGGAACATGACTTTTTAAAATAAAGAAAAAGAAATAATATATATATATATATATATATTAAAGACATTTTTATGTTTAACGTTCTTTTTTTATAGATACAAGTATTTAAGTAAATGCTCTGTTTATAATAAACAGTATTAAATAACATTTACCGGCCTGAATGTCGGAAATTTTCATAGAAAATATTCGTCCTTTGACAGGATTCGAACCTGCATCCTATACGGAACCGTCATTTACGCTGACGTGCCTTACCAATCGGCCACAAAGGAGCGTTCGGTAGGCAAGGTCGAATTTACTGCTTATAAACTTCAATCTTCCATGAATCTCGTACATTCATAACTGCTCTGGCGTATCAAATGTAAACAAATGATGTCATATATTAAGAAATGGACAATTTATTTATTAAAGACATCTTTATGTTTAACGTTCTTTAATAAATTGTCGGACTTTGTCCATTTCTTAATATATGACGTCATTTGTTTACAAGGCACGTCAGCGTAAATGACAGTTCCGTATGAAAATTTCTCGGACATTCAGGCCAGTAAATGTTATTTAATACTGTTTATTATAAACAGAGCATTTACTTAAATACTTGTATCTATAAAAAAGAACGTTAAACATAAAAATGTCTTTAATAAATAAATTGTCGGACTTTGTCCATTTCTTTTATATATATATATATATATATATATATATATATATATATATATATATATATATATAAATAATTTGATGCCACAGAATGCATAAATTGTTAAACAAACACTGTTTAGTGTTTTTTTTTTTTTTTTTTTTTAAATATATGGAAATTCAAAAGTTGTAAATACTCAAATGTGAGTGTAAAATATGAAAGGAATTGATACTCACAATCCTCCAAATAAATAAAATTCTCCTTTTGCTTACATAAAGGAGAATTTCTTTCAGTCGCTTCACCTATTTGGGGGATTGTGAGTATTAATTCCTTTTATATTTTACACTCACATTGAAGTATTTACAACTTTACCTCTTTTAGACACACTCCAAATCTGTCTGCCATAAAGGTTGGAGACTACTGGGAATATTTATTTAATTATTTTTTTTTTTTTTTTCCGAACATTTCATTTGACTTTTAAAATTGTTTACAATTGATTTGAATATATGAGTGATGTTTGTCTTTATTTTATTTTTATTTTTTTGCAGTGGTAGGCTGTAAATAGATGAACTTGTAATGTCAAATTTGGTTTATCAGACAGGTTGTATTTAGACATTTCTGTATGCATTAATAGCTTCTTGCATTGTGGACAAATATACTCTTGATTGAACAATGCTATGGAAATAAAGCAAGTGGGTCACATGAATATGCAATTGAATTTATGACAGTCTGTTTTATTGGTGGGGGCAATCTTGTTTTATATTTATTATTAAAAAAAAAACATTCTTGCAACAGGACAATAAATAAAAAAAAAAAAACCCCAAAAAACCCCCAGTAATTGATGATTTTATAGAAAGAATGTCCTAATGTAATTTTGATGCCATGAAATCATTATTACATCAGCAATTGATACTTCTGTTAGTTTCATCACACTAGCTATTTGTATAGTAGACTTGTTTCTTCTCTTCTTGAATGGTACTAATAAATACTGCCATCAATCGAGTAGTCTCTGCCAATTCTTCCCTTTTACTTAAATTATAAGCTAATCGCAGCAAATTATACAACACTTACTTTGATTAACTGCATTACTTAGAACAATTACTTTGCTACTTATGTAAATGTAAAACTGGTGTTAGTTGGCAATAATATAAGCAATAGATAACTATAAAATTGCACTATTTGTTTATTTATTGCTAATTTGTTTAAATAATGCACTATTGTATCATATTGCAGTAATTGTAAGTAAAATGTGCTAGAATAAGTAACCAAGTAATCATTTTAAGTTCTCTGAATATTTGTGTCTAAAATGATTGTAGTAGTCAATTTTCTTCTAGTTATACATTTCTGATTATATACTTAAGCCTGTAGTTAATGTAAGAAAAATCTCTCCGCACACACTCCTGACTTTGTTGCTGGTGGGACCTATATTAACAAGAAAGAAAGAGGGGGGGGGAGAGGAAAAAAAAAAAAAACTATGTACTAATGTCAAAGTCAAAACTTTGAGAATTCTGTGTAGATAATTTGGTTTTGGGTCAGTGTTCACTGGATTCTTCCCTCAAGTAAAACATCACAATTTTCATCATAATCTAGTTTACAGGTTCTGTGTGGACTTATCTGGTTTTTTTTTTCCCTCAATAATTACATCCACTAATTGTACATACAATCATATCTATAAATTATATACCTGCACATGCAACATGAGAAAACTGATTCTATGCAGGGCAGTTGATATTTCGATGGATGTAACATGTTGAACTAAGTGAGTTATCATACATAACTAATTCTACTGATTGTATCTTCTTGTATATTCTTAAATCTATCTTTCTGGACTTTGAATTGATCATTTATAATTTGTTTTTCATTATTTTTATCCTCTTTATTGTACCACTATCAA